CATTTAAAATACCTTTATAAAATGCACTGACATATTGCATTAATTAGATTTTCCTATCTCTAATGGTATCCAGGTTGAGTTAGTTATCCGAATTTACCAATTATTGTGGTTTTGTGGTTTATTCAACTATCTGCATTTACTCGCGTTCTGCGGGAAGAAAATCAAATAGGTGCATTACGTATTCTGAAGCATTTAATTAATGCAATTTGCAATGCAACCATGCAATTTCTTTAATATAAAGAAGAAAAGGTACCAATATTTTGGCACGTATGTTGCTCATGTCACAGAGATAAATTCAAACGATCTCAAAACTGAAATGCTCAACCTGTTATAAATTAAAATAATATCATTTAAGAATTCATTATGAAACAAAATATTAAGCTATTTCAAATTAAATTAAAAGTTCTTCATAAATTATATATGTACATTATTTATCATAATTTAAAGCATAAATTTCATAATTTGAGAAAAAGGTCAGAGCCAAGAAAAAAAAAAACGAATATTAAGATGTGATATTCGACTAAAAACAGCAACTTACTCTCTCAATAAGAATTGTGATCCCTTCGTGTAGCTATACACGTGATTGGCCTCACCTATCATTCACTCATGGACAGAACTGAAGTAAGTTGTACCTTTTAGCATGTTTAGCGGGATTCAGACAATAACTCTGAGAGAGCTTGGATACATAGTGACCTTTATTGAAGACACACCGGATAACCAAGTGTGAAAAAAATTATCAAAGTCTCCTTAAAAAAAACGGACAACCGAGAACATCAAAGACTTTCACTTCCTTAAGTTTTTTCCGCGAGTGTATTTTTATTAGTAGCATTTAATTCTATTGAAGTCTCATATATAATTACAGTAGCAACCTGGGACTTAACAAAGATTTTGTAACTAAAGGCTGCAATATATCTCTCAAGATTATCCCAGTTTATTTATAATCACATATTATCCAACGATAGAAAGAGAGTGGCCAGTACTGTTTTGGAATTCTGATATAACGAAATTAGCATTCCACATTATCTCTATGGGGTCAGGCATTATCGTTCATTAGCACGAGATCTTCTGTGTGCGAGATCCACTTCGCAAACATGAGGTTCTCATGGCAACCCCTGGTGAGGAAACCTAAGACACGGTGCAGCTCGATGTGTCCAGTGATAGAAACTTCCAGAACCTTAAGTTGAGTTTACTTTCACCTTTGATGGCTGTGTTCACTCCAGATGAAATTTCTTCGGGAAGCACACCGAGAGCTAGAGACAGGTTCATTGGTGAAGGCCGGGCTTTGAAGTTATCGACTACAATTCAAGTGCGACTTTTGTAATACGACAATAAGATGGTATATACGAGTACAGTTGGAAGACTTACATAGTACAACTGGAAGTTCATTCTTGAGGTATTCATCCTCTAGTGGTCGATTCCAGAATTGAATCTGGTTGTGCTTTCCTTTATATTGTTATCGATGACATTCAAAGCATAACAATAAAGACCTGGATTATTTGCAATTACTTCTGAAATCTCGAAAAGAATCAAAGAACTTGGAACAATATTTATCAATACTACAATTCGAAAAATTCGAAATAATAATATGCAACATACACGAAGTTTAATTACCTATTTATTATTATTTAGAATTAAATTTCTAGACGGAAACTATAGAGGTGATTAGGAGTTATTGCCAAATACTGGTAATCCAGCGATGTTTTCAATCTTGAACGTCTTTTCCCGTCTCTTATGGAGCTAGTTTCAGTATCCTGAACGTATTTCCGTACAACAACTTTCTTGGAACGGTGCCGCCCTGAAATCATGGCTAAACCTAATCCTATCCATCCAATTACACGTCGTCTGAAAGAATCAGTGTTAAACGATATTTGATCGTGAAATGTAGAGATGAATAAACTAATAAACTCTGAAAATATATTGATAAAAATATTCACGTAGTTAGAATATGATATTTTTCTCAATTTTAAATTCGTTAGTATTTTATTTAAAACTTAATGAAATAAAATTAGCTCGTTGATTAAATTAGGTTTTAACAATGGCAATATATAAAATATCCTAAAGTTGCGAGAGGATGATATTCATGTATCAAATGTGGCACAAATCCCTCTTTAAAAATACATTAGAATAAAGAAACAATGCATTTTGTTCTGTATATAAGTTGGATTTTGTTGAATTTGCCAAAACTGGTGTAGTAGCTCATTCGGTATCACCAACCTTACATTTTGTACTGAGGAGCTTACACAAAATACTTTATTTCTTTATTTTAATATGTTTAAAAATGGAGAGGTGCCACACCTTTGGTACATAAAAGCATATATATGTTATGAATATTTTTGTTTTGTTGTTGAAAAAGATAGAATTGGAGGTGCAGTCGTGAAAAAAGAAAAGATAATTATTTACCCATCAAGTAGTTTTTATTTTGAATTACTTGAAGTAAATTACATATGAAATTATTTTTCACAGTAATATAGAACCTATAAAATGAATTCTATATTCGTGAATTAAAAAATAGGTAGGGTTAACTATACATATTTACAACAAAATTGGAAAAGTGGTATCTTCTAAATCTATGGTCAAATAATGTAGAACAGTCAAAGGATGAAAATAAAATACATGTTTTTTAAAAAATAAAATAATTGCATTTTAGATTATATAGTATATATATATTTACATGTGTACCAGTGATAGGGTTAAACATCATTTTAGTTTCCGGTCGATAAAATCCAATTCCTCACGCCTGCTCAACTAGCTCATTATTGTAAACAGAACATGAAAAAACACATGTGCTAACAATGACACCCCCTCACCGATACAAAAGAAAGGAAATAACGACCAAATAGATTCAAGCAAAATCAATAACCTTCTGGCTTTTTACCATCCAACTAATTTTTGCCATCATCCCCTATATCGTTAATCAATTCCCCAATTAACAGAGAGGGTGTGGGAATCGACGTTTTCTTAAATCTACTTTCTTTCTGGAATGTCTTTTCTTTTTAACGAGACTTTTTCCAGACGATGACAAGAACGCAGAACCATTCAGTTAATGGTCTTAGAAATTTCTAAGAAGTCATTAATGTCCCATAATACTTCATTGTACTAAATGCTGGAATTAGTCAGCATGGACAGGGGACATGTATGTTAGAGGGAAACTAACTTATGTCCCACAGATGGAATATGGAAAATCTTCAATAAACATGACTTTTATTGCCCCCACTTGAGGCGGTTTATATGAATTTTAGTGAATTCATGACGTTAGATTCATTTTAAATCCTCAAAACAATTGTGAATTCTTAATCCTAAAGACTTGCGGCCGGGCCACGTCACTGTTTTGTTGCGTTAAAAACAAAAAATGGTCAGGAATAAGTTTATTGTGTGCTTTTATTGAGATTATATGCACTCATGGACAAAATTTTAGGAAGTTGTACCTTTTAACATGTATATCGGGATTCAGACAATAACGTTGAAAGATACACTCATGGACAGAACTTAAGGAAGTTGTACCTTTTAACATGTATATCGGGATTCAGACAATAACGCTGAAAGATACACTCATGGACAGAACTTAAGGAAGTTGTACCTTTTAGCATGTATATCGGGATTCAGACAATAACTCTGAAAGATACATTCATGGACAGAACTCAAGGAAGTTGTACCTTTCAACATGTATATCGGGATTCAGACAATAATTATGAAAGATACACTCATGGACAGAACTTAAGGAAGTTGTACCTTTTAACATGTATATCGGGATTCAGACAATAACGCTGAAAGATACACTCATGGACAGAACTTAAGGAAGTTGTACCTTTCAACATGTATATCGGGATTCAGACAATAACTCTGAAAGATACACTCATGGACAGAACTTAAGGAAGTTGTACCTTTCAACATGTATATCGGGATTCAGCAATAACTCTGAAAGATACACTCATGGACAGAACTCAAGGAAGTTGTACCTTTTAGCATGTATATCGGGATTCAGACAATAACTCTGAAAGATATTACAGTGATCTTTATGGAAGACACACGAGATAACCAAGTATAAATTGAAATGCCTCTGTCTCCTTTTTATTCTGAATTATTCTGAATTAGAAGATACATTTATACCTAGTCGGGGGGGGGGGGGGGGGGGGGAATATTCTATAGATAATGTCATTTAGATTTTGAGAATAGAAAATCATCGTTTATCTGATTAGTGTAAAGACCGTTTAGGAATACATCTTGGTTTGTCATCATTATTTAAAATTCCAATGGTAAATATTGGGGGGGAAGATTAAATGCATTATAATCTCTTTCTGTTGTTGTTTTGTCCAATGAAGAGCCTCAGATGTCTCCATGCATCTCTATCACAGCAGCAGCAAAGTGATGAGTAGATATACTAAATTGTATATTTGCATATTATTTAAAATTGTTAAGGTATTCTATATACAGTTACGAGCGTCATGCGTTCTTAATAATTCTTCATCTCTGTCACCGTTTGCTTTTTTTTTTTGGAATGGCGCGCTCCTATTGGTTGGCTACGATCACCCCCCCCCCCCCCCCCCATCATGCCCCCCCCCCACTCGCTTTTTGGTTTTTGTAACTATTGTGTTGGAGCGTGTCGCTCCTTAAATAATCTATTGTTAACAATACCTCATTATAGGTCCGCAAATATCGAAAGTATAGGTATGTAGCTTTTGTACTATTAAGGTGTATATATATACACATACTTATGTACATATGTAAGTACTATTATCATTAGGGATATATATGTCACATCTACATAAATGTAGATATAATACTATATACTCTACTAATATATGCATTTATATAAGGCGCCAATTTATAATTGTAACAAATAATATTTGAATAAAAACATTCAATCGGGTAAAACACAGGCGTTGCCCGGGGCATTCGGCTAGTTTTATATAAAAGTATCAGAGTCATCAATCAATTTTTAATTCTGTCACCGTTTGCTTTTGTGAATGGAATAAATACTCAAATATGGCCATTTCTTATAAGCATCGGTTGTTCATTGGCGAGTATGCTCGCCTGCCACGCGGGCGGCCCGGGTTCGATTCCCGGCCAATGCATTTTTTTTTTTTTTACAATTTTTAAAACTCATTTATATATTATACAAGAATAACATCCACGGCGCCAATTTGTAATTGTAACGAATAGTATTTGAATAAAAGCATTTAATCGGGTAAAACCCGGGCGTTGCCCGGGTCATTCGGCTAGTTTTATATAGGTTACAATAGAAAATTTGCAACGCGTTTCTTTTTTTTTTTTCATTCGAGAAAAAAAGCAAACTCTTGAGGAAATTCGTCATTCGTTGGGCTCATCTCTACGCTAGTAATTTTATTGTAAATAGTTCATATCCTCTTTCTCTCACACCCCTCAATATCTATTACAACAAAAAGCCTTTATTCAGGGTCACTGACCCTATACAGGATTCACCAGAGGTATGCATAAGAAAAAAGCAGTGGGACAAAGGAAATAACGATATATACAGAAGAAAAAGGAAAAAAAAAAACAAGAAATAGAAAGGGGGAAGCAAGAAAAACAACACAAAAAGAGTAGCAGTAAGAAAGTGAGGAGTGAGTGTCACTTGGCCTTCTTCTGAGATACGGACTTGTGGAAACCATAAAACGCCGTAGCAATATACTTATTCTGGGTCATATTGTCAATTATTGATGGAAGTGAAGCACAGAGTTGCCCAGTTTTGAGCATACTCAATATCTATTATAAATCCATAGAATCTTGCTCGAAATCACTTAATTACTTTGAATTGATGAAATACATTTTTAAAAGAATCCTACGAGTCCAAATTAGTTTCTAATTCTCATTACAGATGACGCGCTAATGTATCATATTATAAATATATTGGTTTTAATTTTATATTTTACACTCATATGGACAAAACTTGATATGGAAAGTATTTGAAGTCGCCAGTTGTCTGTTTTTTAAAGAGAGAGGCAATTTTGTTCACACTTGGTTATCTCGTGTGTCTTCAATAAAAGTCACTGTAATATGTATATTTCAGAGTTATTGTCTGAATCCCCCGATATACATGCTAAAAGGTAAAAACTTCCTTAATTTTTGTCCATGGGTGTAGTTTTATAAAGAGTGACTTTGTGCATCTATAAATGTTTGTAGCATTGAGCAGAGTTAGAATGCTGGAAGTTACATCCTCTGTCAATCTAAATCAAATATCCAACAAGGACAACAGTTTACGAGAAACACATCTCCTAATCGGTTAACTAAAAGTGGCAAATGGCTTGCGCCATCTGTCGGAATAAATATAATTAATAAACAAAAGGTATAAGTTGGATAATCGTCTGGAGCAGTATATTATCAAAAGAACACATTTTGACTCCTGCGAAAAGACAGAAATGCTCGAATGGTCAGCTAAATAAAAGCCCTTTACAAGAAACTCTTTGTGAAAAAAGAGTACAAATGTGATATTGTACTGGGATAAAGTTCATAAATTATGAAAAAGGCATTTCCTTATCGTGCTTATCGGGTATTTGGCCAATTCTGGAATAATTAAAAATCAACGAGAATAGTTGATATTTATTCCGATAGATGGCGCAAGCCATCAGTAACTTTCATTTGCACGATAAGGAGATACCTTTTTTATAAGAAACTCTTTGTCTCACGATTTTGTTCCTCTGATAATAAAGGGGGTATATTCAGTCAATTATAGAATATTTAAAACTTAACTATTAATTGATATTTATTCTGAGATATGGGGCAATCCTTTAGCAACTTTTAGTTTTACAAACAGGGGATATGTCTTTCTCGTAATTTATCAACCTGACAGGAGTACAATTTCACTTTTGTAGTATGTTTACATAAAGATTATAAAATCCCCATTTGCTCACAAATTCAGCTATCTGAAAGCAATAATGGCAGCAGTATTACATAACTCAACCTAGCAGCAGGTGTCTAACAAGTTGACACAAGAGGAGAACATCCCCTCGTCACAGCCGTATAAGCCGCAGAGAAAGAGGGATTAAAGCTGGAGTTGCCATAGCACCGATTTATCGGCTTGGTTGATTCTTTGTTGCTGCTGTCTTGTCAATATAGCACACAGCTAGCACTCACTCCCCGGTATATTATATATCTGTTTTGTCATGTCGCTGGGATATTCTCAGTGGATAAACCTTCAGATAACAGGCGTCTCACCATTATAATTAAAGACCTATCTGAAAGTAATAAGAAATTCAAACTATTTTTTAACGCGTATGATTCTTTCAGAAATTAAATACACCAATACCTCGCTTTGCGTCGTTTCATTTTGCGTTTTTTTCGAATTTGCGTCGCTGCTTAATTTTTACTGATTTTCACTGTGCGTCGTTTGATTTTCGAAGTTGCGTTGTTTTGGATTCGAGTCTTTAATTTTTTTTTTTTTTGAATTTTTTTTCCTAAAATATGGCAACACCTTTGTTTTTGATTGCGCTTTCACATATTTTCACTTTGCGTCGTTTCAATTTGCGTCGTGTTTTTTTGGAACGTAACCCCGACGCTAAGCGAGGTATGGGTGTATTCTCCTACTACCCTTAAGGTGATAATAAATTAATGGGAGAGTTAACCACTGATCAGCCTGACTCTCCCATTAATCTTTCATTGCAGTAAGGAAGTATAAAATTGTTTTATTTCAAAATGAATCATGCGCGTCAAAATAGTTTAAACTTCTAATAACAGGTTGCGTGCTAATCCATCAAGTTAACATGTGAAGGTGTTATTAGAGGGGTGGAATAAACTGTCGATTATTAATTTAATTATTTGACATATCGAACGAGATATCCCAGCTTTGGATACTTGCGCATAAATACATTTTATCAACCTATATACAATTCATTTTATATACAATTCAATAACGGGAACCAAACGAGGCCCTGGCACATTTGTAAGTGCAAAGTCGAACTGATTTTCACATGTGTAGACATGTGGTGCGCTTACAGTAAAAGCAGTCGTCTACTTCTATCCACCATGATTATCATGGCCTGTACCACGTGTACTTAGGGATAAGCAAAAAAAAACGGGAATAAAAATAAAATTAAACTGAAATGTTGGTTTTCTCAAACAGAAGAGAAAATCCAAAATGAATTTACTAAAATTATTGAATTTTATATAAGTGTCTTTGTTATATACAAATTCGAAAATTTCTTCGATGGGATAAAAATGATTACTTCTGTAGCTGTGAAAGATCGGACATTCTATTAATAAATGTATTGAGAAGGTTTTGGTAGAGGGGTGGTATAAAATCTCGATTATTGATACCACGACCCGGGTTCGAATCCCGGATTTGATACTTTTTTTCAGAAGAAAGAACTTGCTTCAATAATCCCCGAATCTTGCAAAAGTTGAATCCCACCATTGAAGTAAAAAAGCGGGGTTATGGGACACTTGTAAGTGCAAATGTTGAACTGATTTCTACATTTGTAGAGACATGTGATGAACTTTCGGTAAGAGCAGTCGTTAACTATCCACCAACACCATGATTATTATGGCATGTTTACGTGTACTTGGGATTTTATAATAAAAACAGACACATATGAACGTTTTTGATAACACGGCGCAAATAGTTTCATTTTTATTGATAAAAAAGACAAGTTCTTCAACATGTCATGGTCAAGACGCGTAGTTTGTATTTGCGTCAAATCCTAAGTGACAAAGATTAGCCTTAGAGGAGTCTCTTTGTTGTAAATCATGGAAGCTGGCAATTTTCTGGATTCAGGCAAAATTTCAGTATCTGGCCACTATTCATAATGGATATAGTAAATTGAGATTCTCTGAAAGTTCAGCCTTTTCGTTTCTGATGTAATAAAAGTATTTGATGCAAATTTAAAAACTTCTTTATTAATATTGTTACGTAGAAAATTAGGAAGGACAAACTTGAGAATGACATGAAAATATATTTGAAGCAAAAACAAATTAATGAAATACAGAAGAAGCAATGAGGAAATATTTACAGAGTAGAAAATTTCAAATATCAAAATTGATAATCTGTTAAGAAAGTAATAAATACTCCGCTACAATATACAAAGTTTTTACACTAAAGAAATACATCTTCTGATTGTGAAAATAAAATTTGCTGATGGTGTCCACCATTTATCGGAATCAACTAATCAATAATTTATTTATTCACAGAATATTGGCCAAAATATTTAGCTTGACCAATAAAGATAAGCTAACCGCGTTTGTTCCGGGGTCATTTTATCTCGTCAACATGGTTTTACATACCTGGACATCTTAATTATTAATTCTACCACAGATATACTAGTACATTTCCCATTTGTACCGTTATTTCATCACCCATTCTTGTACTATATCTTGAATGGTATCTATTGGATTCTGTCGATGTCTTATGAAAATAAAGGTCGCCTCTCCAATCAAAATAGACGCTCAAACTAAGCGTTTGACCACGGGTGTGTACATCAGATTGTTTACAGATAAAATAATAGATATTAAAATAGGGTGAGAAATATACATATGCACAAACAATTATACAGATGAGTAACAATCACTCACATTAAATGGCACTTGATTAGGTATTTAAAATATTTTCTGCGATTTCTCCAACGCATTTAACAATGAAAAACAAGGCAATTCTCCCGTTTAAACATCTTTCAAAGCAATCCTTTCATCATCTAAGTACGAATCATACTGTTGGTGAATGCGCCACAATCCCAGTTTTGGTAAATTCAGCTGAAACGCCTACTTATAGAGCATGGTCTCTGGTTATGCTATTGATACCTTCAATGTATCAAACTTCGTGTGAGATCCCTGTAATAAATGAACCATCAACTGGTCAATGGGTGTACGTGCCAACACTGTTAACATCTTAGATGTTAATCTACAATATATTGAAACCAATTTGTGGTAATTTCATATGGAACAACTCTATCTAGAAGATTGGTGTAGCTACACAAAACTAAAAATTCAATAGTTAAATATTCCTGAAATACAATAAAATACCATCTTCTCATTTGAATGTTCATTTCTCTGAAATAAGAATTAATTCAAAAACAAGAAAGAGACATATTCTGACCTCTCACATGAACATTTTAGATGGCAGACCGCC